AGGTACACCACTATATAGGTTTAAGTTGTACAGCATAATGATTTGATTTATATATATTATGAAGTGATTATCACAATAAGTTTAGTGAACATCCATCATCTCATATAAATTAGAAAAAAAATTTTTTCTTATGATGAGAACTCTTAGAATTTACTCTTAACTTTCATATGTAACATACAGCAGTGTTAATTATATTTATCATGTTGTACATTACATCTCTAGCACACATATATCTCATAACCAGAAGTTTTTACCTTTTGACTGTCTTCATTCAAGCCCTTAGTCCCCATGCCATCAATTGATTTTCAACAAGTTTGCCAAGACAATTCAGTAAGGGAAAGAACATTCTTAAAATAAGTGATGTTAGAAAAACTAGGTATCCACATGCAAAGAATGAATTTTGAGCCCCTACCCCACAATGGCTATAAAAATTAACTCAAAATGGATCAATGGCCTAAATATAAGACCACAAAACTTTTAGAAGAAAACATTAGAGTAAATCTTCACAGTCTTGGATCTGGCCTAGGATTCTCAGAAATAACAGCAAAAGTACAAGAAAAACAACAAAAAGTTAAGACTTCATCGAACTTGAAAACTGTTGTGCTTCAAAAGATACCATCAAGAACATGAAAAGACAACCCATGGTGTGAGGAAAAATATCTGCAACTCATAAATTTGATAAAGGTCCAGTATCTAGAAGATGTTGTATAAATAGCTCTTACAAGTCAGTGATAAAGACAATCCAACTTAAAAATGGGCAAAGGGCTTGAATACAGACAAGAGAATCGAAAATTGAAGTTTCACTCACACAAAAACTTACACGCGAATACTGATAGCTCAAATGGTCTATTCATTATGCCAAAAAGTGGAAGTAACCTAAAAGTTCATCAACTGAAGGATAAACAAAAACTGCTATAGCCATTTGATTGGAATATTATTTGACCATAAAAGGAGTAAAGTGATATATGCTACAACATGATCCTTTAAAACATATGCTAAACGAAGAAGCCAGACACAAAAGACCACATTTGATATTATGATACTGTTTATACCAAATGTCCAGAATAGACAAATCCATAGTGAAAGAAAAATAGATCATGATTGCTTAGGGCTCTAGGCAGAGGTGAGTGGTGGTGTATATGTGACTGCTCATGGGTAATGGATTTTTTAAAAATTAATTAATTTTTATATATATTTTTAATTTTTTTTAAATTGAGGTATAGTTGATGTACAACAGGATTTCTTTTGGAGGAGTCATAAAAATGTTCTGGAATTAGGGGTGATGGTTGACCAATTAGTGATAGATGATTACACTAGAAAAGCCCGCTAAATTGTACACTTGAAAAGAGTGAGTTTTATACTATGTGAATTACATTTCAGTAAAGCAGCTATTATTTTTTAAAGCCCTAAAAAATAAATAAAAACTTAAAAGCCCTGGCATATTTAAGAAATAAAGACCAGTGTTCGCTGCTGCCGCCACGCCGCCGTCGCTCTCCAACGCTAGGGCCGCCCCTAGCTCGCCGAGCTCCAGCCGAAGGAGAAGCAGTGTAAGTAAGGGTCTCTGGACCACCGCTTGTTCAAAGCCGACTGCCTGCAATCAACGGGTGGTAAAGCACGAAGGAAGCGACTGGCTACAAAAGCTGCTCGCACGAGTGTGCCCTCTACTGGAGCAGTGAAGAAACCTCATCTTTGTATGCCTGGTACCATGGCGTTCTATAATCCAGCAAATGCTGGCAATTTGATCTTTAGTTCCTCTTCCTTTTCTAAACCCAGCTTGGACATCTGGAAGTTCTTGCTTCGCATAGTGCTGAAACTCAGCATGCAAGATTTTACACATGACCTTACTAGCATGGGAGATGAGTGCAGTTGTCTGATGGTTAGCACATTCTTTGGTACTACCCTTCTTGGGGATAGGGATAAGGATTGAATTTCAGAAAAACATCTTTGTTTCATCAGCTACGCTAAAGCCTTTGACTGTGTGGATCATGACAAACTGTGCAAAGCTCTTAGAGAGATGGGAATATCAGACCATCTTAGCTGTCTCCTGAGAAAACTGTATGTGGGTCCAGAAGCAACAGTTAGAACCCTGTACGGAACAACTGATTGGTTTAAGATTGAGAAAGGAGTAAGGGTACTCACCTATATGCTGAACACATCATGAGAAATGCAGGGCCGGATAGATTACAAGCTAGAATCAAGATAGGTGGGAGAAACATCAACAACTTCAGATACGTGGATGATACCACTCTAACGGCTGAAAGTGAAGAGTAACTAAAGAGCCTCTTGATGAGGGTGAACAAGGGGAGTGAAAGAGCCAGCTTAAGACTAAATATGAAAAAAGCTAAGATGGTGGCATCTGGCCCCAATTACTGCATGGCAAGTAGAAGGAGAAAAGGTGGAAGTAGTGACAGATTTCCTCTTCTTGGGCTCCAAAATCACTCCAGACGGTGACTGCAGCCATGAAATCAGAAGATGATTGCTTCTTGGCAGGAAAGCGATGATAAACCTAGACTGTGTTGAAAAGCAGAGACATTACTCTGCCGACAAAGGTCCGTATACTCAAGGCTATGGTCTTCCCATTGATCACATACAGTTGTGACACCTGGATGGTAAAGAAGTCAGAATGCCAAAGAATTGATGCCTTTGAATTGTGGTGCTGGAGAAGACTCCTAAAAGTCCCTTGAATAGCAAGGAGATCAAATAAATCAACTTTAAGGGATATCAATCCTGAATATTCACTGGAAGGACTGATGCTACATTTGAAGCTGCAGTATTTTGGTCATCTGATGCAAACAGACAACTCATTGGAAAAGTCCCTGGTGCTGGGAAAGATTGAGGGCAGGAGAAGAGGGCGTCAGAGTATAAGATGGCTGGACAGCATCACTGATGCACTGAGCATGAACTTGGGCAAACTGCAGCAGACAGTGAGGGACAGGGAGGCCTGGCATGCTGCCATCCATGGGGTCACAAAGAGTTGGGCATGACTGAGTGACTGAACTGAACTGAAATGGTGTTTGTAGCATTTTTGTCATACAGTAGATTACATCCATTCACTATACTTTTCTGAGTTGTCCTACATGGAAAGACATGTTTTTAATGTTGTCTGTCTCCTGTGCTGTTCCTAAGTTTGCTATTAAAATACATTAAACTATAAAAAAAGGAAAAAAAGAAAGACCAACGTGGTTGGAGAATCATGAGAAGTTAACAGTTCATTTATTCATTTGAAATATACATAGTGTGTGCTTGTTCAAGATATTGTAGATACAATATTAAAACAAAAATCTTTGTTCTGTGCTTAAATAGCTAGCACTTATTAAATGTGAGACTTTGTACTTACTGCTGGGTGTGTGAACTCAACTTTCTTCTTTTTAACAGTGCTGCATGACTTGTGGCATTTTAGTTTCCCAACTGGGGATCAAACCCAGGCCCCTGGCAGTGAGAGTGCTGAGTCCTAATGACTGGATAGGCAGAGAATTCCCAAACACTATACCAGCATTATTCTTATTCTACAGAGAGCACGAGGTTAAATAACCCACTTAAGTTTCTACAGTCACAGATCTTGGATCATACTCTACACAATGACTTCAGAAGCTGGGCTCTTAAGTCTCCAAATCATTCTGCTCAAATTATGTTCCCACTGGACCAACAGAAAGGAGCTGACCAGGTGCCAGGAGGGAGGGCATTCAAAATTTATTAAAAGCTTCTTCTGGCTGGTTGGGGAGAATGGGTCTCTGTGAGTCAAGATATCAAGATGGGGGCCCGTTAGGGGTCAGGTCTGGGATGGTGGCATTCATTGGATCTCTGCAATTCTGAGGCAGGTATTGGTGGCCTCATTTTACAGATGTGGCAAGCTGGAAGCTTTTAAGGCCTCAAGAATTAGTGCCATTTCTGTCAAACGTTTTTTTCAGTCACATGTAACTTTCAAGCACTTAAAATGTGACTAGTATGTCTAAGAAATTAAATTTCTCATTTCATTAATTTTAATCATGGTAAGTGGTTAGTAGCACTGGTGTTTCATTATTGAACACCGCAGGTAAAAATATGGAATACTTTGTGGGGACGGGCTACTCTTGTTGTGGTGTGAGGGCTTCTTATTGCTGACCTCTCTTGTTGCAGAACATAGGCTTTAGGGCGTGAGTTCAGGTGTGGTGCATGGGCCCAGCTGCCTTGCAGCATGTGGAGTCTCCCCAGACCAGGGATTGAACCTGTGTCCCCTGCATTGGCAGGCAGACCCCCAACCACTGGACAACCAGGGAAGTCCAAGGTGAATTTCTGAATCTAGGTCCTGTTTGGTTATTTGATGGCACCTCAAACTCATGTGATTTTCTCACAAGATAGAGAATGCCCCTACTTTACAATGAAGTTCCTGAGGCTGAGAAAGAGGGCTGGAACCTGGTCCATCTGACCCCACTCCTCTCTGGGTCTCTGCAGCAGCCCAGGTGTCCTGTGCCCCCGTGTCTCCCCGACTGAAGCCTTCCTAAAACACGTATTTGGTTGTGTGGCGCTAGGCTAAAAACCTTTTAGTGGTGCATTACCATTTACCTGGAGAAGGAAATGGCAACCCACTCCAGTACTCTTGCCTGGAGAATCCCATGGACAGAGGAGCCTGGTGGGCTACAGTCCACGGGTCACCAAGAGTGGGACATGACTGAACGACGAAGCACACACGGTTTACCTGATTCGCATTCTGTGACATGGGATCTGGAGTCTTCTGGTTCCCAAACCATCCGTGCCCTGTGTTTGGTTCCTCAGTCTATATGGCAAACTTCTCATTTTTCAAGAGCAAACGTGTTAACCTGTCAGACCCTTTCCTGTCTAGCAAGGCAAGTGCTTTCATGTCAGTGTTCCCACAGAATTCTTTATCATGTCTTTAGCAGACTGTAAATGACAGAGCACCATTTCCTTTCTGCTGAGAGCTCCTGTGTCCAGGAGAAGGCCTAGGACCTCGTCGGCATTGAACAAGGCAGAGGTTGGCATCTTCACCAAGTCACTGAAACTGCAGGTGAGGATATGGCCTCCTGGGGAGAGTCAGCATCAGCACTACCCTGCGGTAGTGTCCGAGTCCCAGAAGGCTCTTCCCACACACCACTCAACAGGCTGATTTTTTTCTCTTTATTATTAGACATAATGTATAAACACATAAAACAGAAGGGATCCTCATTGGCCTCAAAAACCAGCAGGGAAGGAAGAGGCCCCAGGAAACTTTTTTTTTTTAAGTACAAGATATATTAGTGGCTGGACCAAGGATGTGGAAGGCAGGCCAGGGCCAGCAGAGCTGAACTATAGGCTCCTTCTCTCCCCACAGAGCCAGGACAGCCCCAGGGAGCTCTCCCCCAGCAGCTAGTTCACACAACCAGATTGCTGCCTAGAGGAAAACTACGATGGAGAGCCTTCCCCTCTTGGAGAGAAGGGCAGTCAGTACACAGGATAACTAAAAGCTCATTCCTTCCATCCTTTTTCCCTTCGTGGCTGCAAGTGAGGAAAAGGAAAGCTGTGTCCCTTGCACACTGACTGACCCCTCCCAGCTAACCTGGGCCCAGATGCGCCCATACTTCGCATTTACCAAAGCCTGTCCCAGCTCAGACCCACCAGGTGCCCAGAGTTCGCTGAGGAGGGGAGGGGAGGGGAAAGGCTGGGTATGACACCAAACAGATCTTTATTTGCAGTCGTCACTGGGGCCGTTTCTTGCTGCTTATTTGTTTGCTGGCCTGCTCTTCTAGCTGCATGGCCAGGCGCAAGGCCTTGATGACATCTGGAAGGCAGGGGTGGTACACTTGAAGTCAGCAGGTCTCTCAGAGACCCTGTTCCCTCAGGCAGAGCCACCATCACCCAGAGGCCCCACCCTCCGGCTGCACCCACCTCGCAGGGCTGAGAAGTGCTTCGCTTGTTGGGCCAGGGCACAGTCTGCTTTATTCACAAAGGTCTCCAGGTCGTAGTCTGGTTGCTCAACCATCTCGGAGAGCTCCAGCCAGTCTGGCCCTTGCTGCAGCAACACAAGATGGACCTTGTCAGGTCAATAATGACCAAACCAATTTAGCAAATCATCCCCAGGGCTCTACCATCTGTAATGCAGATGCCTGTTCCTCTAGCCATGGCCCTGACCCTCCCTCCTGACCTTCTCCCCATAACTCTCAGCTTGAATCTGTCTTTCCTCCGCCTGCCAAAAACTTGTCCCTGTTCCTGAGGTCAAATGCATATCTTGATGCCCAAGCCAGAAATCTGAGCAAAAATTCTTTCACCCTGCTTGTCCCCCAATCCTAACAATTGCACCCCTGAAATGGTTCTTAAATCTCATGCCTTCCTGTCAATCCCACGACCATGGTCACAGCTAGTCTAGGCACCAATGTCTCTCCTGAACTCTAACAATCTCCTAACTGCTCTTAACTCTAAGCATTTCTACTCATGCTCTCCCCAGGTCCTAAGCCAGGCTCTGTACTGTGGCCACAGTAAGGCACCTAAAGCTCTCACGTCACCAAGTCACCACTCTGCCTTACTCCCTTCAAAGGCATTCACTGCCCTCATAATGAAGTCCAGGCCTTTGGTATGAACCATAATGTCCTTCAGCATCAGGTCCTGGCTGACCCGTTCACAGCCTTGATCTCCCTCCCTCACCTGCTCACACCTTTTGCTATGGCCAGAGTGAACCTATTGCTCTTCCTGAAAGTGCCACGCCCTTTCCCACATTTGGACCCCGAGCACTTGAGGGAGGGAGGACACATGCAGACACTTACCTTGCATGCCCCTTCTCAGATTTAAGTGCCCCAAGCTGCCCCCTCTGCTCCACACTTGGAGCGCCCTACTGTTAGGATGCCCTTCAGGCCTCTCCCCAGCTTGCGCTTACACAGGAGGGATCACGGCAGTGGTAGCATCACCTACTAAAGGCTGACCACATGCTGCGGAAGGCTGAGTGTTTAACAGCATATCACTTAATCCTTAGATATAACCATCTTGTCTTGACCATTTTGGAGATGAAGAATTTGGGGCCCAGTGAGCCTCAATGACTTTCACGAGGAAACTGGCTCATAAATAGAAGAGTTGGGATTGATCAAGTCTTTCTTTAGGCCTGTTATCCATACTTCATGATTTTGGCCCTTGGTCTCAGCACAGGAGCTGGTGGTATATAGAAAGTATTCACCAACATTCATGAACAGACGAGACCTGGCTACCCTCCAAACCCTCAGTCGGGAGCACAGGAGAGAGAGACTAGCTCCAGCCAGGAAGATGGGGGAAAGCCTATGTGTGCCAGGCTGGAGAAGGAGGTGTGGTAATTAGCTGCCCTATAACAGCAGCTGAATAAGTAACTGGAGAATTAAGAAATGTTGATCTAGAAGGCTGCCTCTTGCCACCCCAGCCAGAAGACTAAGGAGGTGTATGTGTGCATGTAAAGCCTAGGTCACATTCAAAGAATGATGCTGAGCCCAGGACCAGCTCTCCACCTGTATGATCTCCTTGAGCTCTTCCATGGCCCTTTCTTCCAGCTCCCTGATCTGAGTCATGGCTTCATTGAAGCTGGACATCTGGGAAGACAGTTCATCCTCTTCCTTGGAGAACTAAGGGGGCAAAAGGAGACATGTAACAGTGTGGCCCAGTCTCCATCTCAGCTGGCCATGTTTCCTGCTTGCCTGGCCCACCTCCCCTTACATTGCCTGCACTCAGGGCCCCGTTGGAGCTGGCTTCCATCTCTTCTGTTTCCATCTGAATTGGCTGCTCCCCACTGGGTCCACTGTGGGGGCTCAGCTCCTTGACCCTGAGAAAACAAGAAGGTCACAGCTCCCACAGCAGCCTCTTTGGCACTCACAAGTGTGCAGTACCACTCAGATTTCGAGACTTCAAGGAGATGGAGTAGTGGCTTTGCTTTGACCTAGAAGGATTTTTATTCACACTGCTCCCCACCAGAGCCTGAAGGGGATCAGAAAAAAACCTTGTAGCATCATATATGGACTCCCAGGCCTCAGACTTAGCGAGTCACAGAAGAGGAGACAATAGGCAGAGTCCCCAGAGCCCCCTCCCCACTCTCATCACTACCATTCCCTCCCCAACCCTGCCCCTTCCCATCCCACCTGGCATAGGTACCAGTACCTGTCCGCATATCTTAGTGTATTTAAAGTATATTCACAGGAGCTTATGCCTGGTGAGATCATGGCAATCTGCAAAAGAAGGAATGGGCAGTTAATGGTCAAGGATCCCAGGGTAAGGGTGCTCTTGGAGAGGCTGCCAGGAATTGGGGGTAGAGCTCATTAAATACCCACTGTGTGCCAGGCAACTTGCCCCATGGGCCCTGCAAACTAAGGTTCTTTATTTTTTATTTATTTATTTTTAACTAAGGTGCTTTAAAGATCAGTCCCCCATTTTTGCTGGTGTATCTGATTACTCCTGCTTCTTCTTTACTGACCCATTCCTCTCACCAAGGTCACAATGCAAGGCCCTGTGATTACTGCTGGAAACTTTAGTTCACCTGGGCTCAGAGATACTGCCTTAGGGAGAGGGGTTTAGAGCTTAGTCAGCAATTCCCACCTTCCTCAGCAGGAGGAGAGAGGATATTCCCTGGCGAAGAAGGTGGGCAGATCTGAGCTAGAAAGCATTATGGATAAAATAAGGGGACAGAAAGTCACCCAAGGCTGAGGCCCTCTCCAATTTCCTAGGCTGGGAGCCAATGACCCCTGAGGGAAGTCACAGAGGGACGAGGACTGCCTCTCCTGCTTCCCCAAAGGTCCTCCTCCTGAATCCTGTAGCCCCTTTTTTTTCATCAGGTATGGGAGGAACGACCTTTCCTGACCCAAGAGGTGCATAGACACACAGTAAAGGGAGAAGATCCTTTCCTCCCTGCTTGTGTAGGCAAAGAGGACCCTGCTGCCCAAAAGCAGGGGGTGAAGCCCAGTTAAATTAGAGCCTGGAAACCCAGCTAGTCAAGAATACAGAGCCTCTTGCCCAGGGACAGGACTGCACCACTCCAAAGGACCCAACTCACCATGCAGGTCCTTGAGTTCTCACCAATAAAGGAGTCCCTCAACACCTGTGTCAGCTTGCTCTCGCGGAATGGGGTGTGGGCCTTGTTCTGTCCCAGGGCCCTGATGCATTCCTGGGGGACAGCAGGGGAAGCTGAGGTCCCCTCCTTCCTTTCAAGATGCCCTCTCCCTCCCACCCTCTCCTCCCAGCAGCCCTCCAGGGCCACCCGCTGCCCTGAAGCTGGGTCCGGCTACCTTCAGAGCCAGGAGACTCTTGTTGATTTCTGCACCCTCCATGCGGGTCTGCCGGTCGGCACTGGAAGTGTCTGCGCCTCGCTCGTTCCCTGCCAGATCCACCAAAGAGAACTTGCCATGCACTCTCCCTTTGGTTCGAAGAAGAATCTGGAAGCAGGCGTGGGAGCGGGAAGAGTTGGAGTTGGCAAATGTCTGCCCAGAGGTCCTGTGGCAAAGGAGGACAAAGAAGGGCTATGAGCTCCTAGGGGGGTGGTCACCAGCCACCATGGCACCTGAGGCTCCAAGGCTCAGTTCTCCAAGAGGAGAGGGAGACGGGCCAGGACTCGTTAGACGTTCTGTGTCATCCTGTCCCACTTCCGTCTTTCTTTCCCTGGGCAGCAGCCCTCCTCCCTCAGCCACTCTGGGCATGGCTTACCCTGGCAGCCAAAGTACTGAATTCTATGCGAAGGCCTTGGTCAGGGCCTGGGCCATAGGCCGTGGGGAAGCATGAGTTACCTCTGCTGCAGGCCACATAGGGAAGGAGGGACTGTCATAACCCACTTGCTAAACTCAAGGGCCCTGGCGAGGTAGCCCCTCCCTGGCCCTCCATAAACTGCGCAGCACCCACTGCACCACGCTGAGGGCCCTGGTAGAAGAGCACTTTCCTCCGTTTACACAGAAGCTCTGGCCCCGTCACTTCCAGCTAGAGCATACCCAGAGCTTCTGTCCCCCACCACAGAGAGAGGGAACAGCAAGGAGAAACTCAGAGAAGTCGGGAAGCATGCCTCTGGATAAGAGTCTGGTAATAAATCCTGCCCTTGTCAGATTCAAGATGATTTGACTCGCCCCTGACGAGTCTTACCCTGGGTCATTGGCCCCATTGCGACCAGTTAAGGCAGAGGCCTTCAGAGCCCTCACCAAGCTGGGGGAAGCGGTGCTCTGTGGAAACAGCAGAGGGCTCAGTGCTCATCTATCGCCTGACCCGGCATTAGATGGTGGCCCCTTCCTCCGGCCAAACTCTGACCTGCAGGCACTGCCTATGTCGATCATCTTGATGACGTCGTCAGCACAGCTCACCAGGCGCTCCTGCAGCCCCACCACCTGCACCTGCTGCTTGCCGTCCTCCAGCACGCGCAGCTTGGCCTTCTTATTGAGCAGGTCGAACAGCTGTGCCAGGCAGGGGAACAAGGCCAAGGACGTCAGGCGCCAGGCACCCACTGATCCCTCCCTGCTTCAGAGCCTGTCGCAGCTTAGACAATGACTGGGAACAGGAAAGGTGGGAGAGGCTACACTGGATGATAGATGAGCAGCGAGCAGTTCACCTGGGAGCTGAACTGGGCTACCTCGGTTTGATGTGACCCTCCTTCTTTACTGGCTGTGTGACCTGGGAAGGTACTTAGCCACCCAGCCTGGTTTCTCATCTGTGCAATAGTGACAGTAATGGTGATACTTCCTAGTAGGGTTGTGGTGATGAGCTGAGACAAGTTAAGTGCTTAGAATAGTGCTCAGTACCTAGTAACATGTTACTAAGCCACATTAGCTATTATCTAGACCCCACTCGGGGAAGGTGACTCTGCAAAAGCGTAGAGAGATACATAGAAATATAGAGAGTATGACTATGAGAATGAATGTGTGCGATCAGGAGAAGAGAGATTTAAGAGGGAAGTGCATGGTGGGAGGACAGGGCACACATAAGCGAACCTCCCGTCTAAGAGGAAGCCCTGAGGCGTGTTCCTGCTTACTTGTTGAGCGTGCTCCCATCCCACCATTGGATGAAAACCTCCCACACATTTGAGCAAAGTGGCCCAAAGGCATGACAACACACAGGGTGTTTGTCTTCTACAATTTCTAGACAACCTCAGGATTTTAGAAACTTCAGGGGCCCCAGCAGCATAAACAGAGGGCTCCCCGCCAGCTACCTTCCCATTATAGATTTCGAAGAATGTCACATAGACTTCCAGGTCCAGCCTCCGGTATCTGGGCTGATTCTTCAGGAGGAAGACATCCCGGGCTGTGGGGAGAACCTGGATTAACTAAGCAACCTGCCCTCCTGTGCCCAGCCCTGTTGGGCAGAACTTACTACTTACAGGCCATCGCATAGATCCCTTTGGATGCGTTCTGGGTTTTTCCATAGAGGTCTCCACCCATCGTCTGCAAAGGGAAGGGACAGGAGACTGTGCCTTGGCCTAGGCCAGAGCATTACTGGCTCCACCACCACCGTGGGCCATACTACAGCCAGGAGGGGATCTGGACCTGCCAAGGCCCTTCCCTGCCCCTGGCACAGAGCATCTGGAGGTGGGGCATCTGCACCGAGGGGACCTTCTGCAAGAAACTCATTGTCCTTCTTTTCAGAGGCCCAGAGGTGCACTAAGGGCAGGATCACTCTCTGCCAGGCTTCAATACTCACATGAGTCTTGCCACTTCCCGTCTGGCCGTACGCAAAACAGGTTGCCTTTCCACCTTCAAAGATTGTCTGTACCAGTGGCCTTGCTGTGAACCTAAGAGAAAGGATGTGGAAGCATGCATATCTCTGCTTAAATGTGCTTCCTAGAACTTGGTTCTGCTACCCTTCCAAAGCAGGATTCCTGGGGGCTTCCTTCCAAGCAAAGTGGTCCCACCTGACCCCAGCCCCACTTACAAATCTGAAATTCTCCTAGCCACCTGGGGAGGGCTGGACCAACTGGCCAGGAGCAGGCTGGTCCATACTCTTAACTGAGCCACCAGCACCTCCTCTACCCTGGAGACACAGAGGGAAGCTTGAGCTTAGCAGCCCACTTCCAGCATATGATACACTACAAAGATCAAAGAAACTCTTTAAAGTAAAAGCCTAAAATATTTTAGGCTTTGTGGGCCACATAGGTCTCTTCCATATATATACATACATAAGTATACATATATATACATTTTTAAAATTTATTTATTTGGCTGCACTGGGTCTTCCTTGTGGCAACTGGAAACTTTAGTTGCAGCTTAGTGCAGCATGTGGGATCTAGTTCCCTGACCAGGGATCAAGCCTGGGCCCCCTGCATTGTGAGCTCAGATCTTAGCAACTGGACCACCAGGGAAGTCTGAAATATATAGATATATATATATTTAATGATTCTTTGAAAACACAAAATCCACTCTTAATTTGAGAGCCATATAAAAAGGGGTTGCAAGCCAATTTTCACCCATGAGCTACAGTTTATCAACCTCTAGTCTAGAGCAGCGCTGTCCAATAGAACTTTCTGAGGATGGATACTGGAAATGATCTCTATCTGTACTGTCCAATAGTAGCCACTGCCAGACATGTCTACTGAGCACTTGAAATGTGGCTCGTGTAACTAAAAAACTGAATTTTCTTTTGACTGCATTATACAGCACGTGGGAATCTTAGTTCTCCAATCAGGGATTGAACCCATGCCCCCTGCAGTGGAGGTGCAGATTTTTAACCACTGGACCACCAGAGAAGCCCCTGAAGATCTGAATTTTTAATTTTGTTTAACTTTTATTTAAACAGTCACATGAAGTTAGTGAGCGCTGTACTGGACCAAGCAGCTCTAGTTTGCTGAGTCTGCCTAGCCCAGTGGTGGCTGTACAGGACACAGACACAGACACAGGAAGAACCCCTGAGGCCTGCCCAGCCCAGTCTCAAATAGGGCAGTGGGAATACTTCACTCTGTCTACTCAAGCATGGTCCACTAAAGCTGAAACATAGGATGTGACAGCCCCAACAGGGTCTTCCTCGTGCCAGAAGCCAGAGCCAGCTCTGCGTCATGGTCCATCCAAAGAAGACACAAGAGGAAGCCAGGAAGGGATTCAGAGTCAGCATGCATGAGAGTGCAAGTGTTACCACAATGTCCCACACTGGAAAGAGGAAAGTGTCAGGAGGAAGGGGGAAACAGAGGCAAGGGACTAACCTGTAGACGACTTCATTTGAAGTTGTTTCATCAAATGCGAAGTCAAAGCAGAATGCTTGGTTCTCCAGATACTTTGTTAAGTCCACTTTTAACTTGGGCTCATGGACCAAGAGGACACACTTGCTAGGAACGGAAATCACATCAATTTCTTTCTTGGCCAACTCTGCAGAAGGACAGTATTTCAGGGGATGCTCCCTGGACACAGGGGACCCTCAGTCTGAAGCCTCATTCTGACTGAACTTACCTTGAGGCTAAGGTAAGGTGGGGCTTACCTTGTTTATTCAGTGGGCGTTTCCTAACACAGACACATATCCTGTGCTCTTCGATCTTCAGGAGGAGGAGAGAAGACAACCATCAGCAAAAGGCCAGTGCAATATTGAAAGAAAGCTTGTCCAGAACCCCTCCCTTACTAATCATATGTCTGGCCCAGTGAGGGGCCGAGACCTAACACTGGGACCCACTGTGCTCATAGTTACTTTAGAGCACAAGAAGGTGGCTCTGAATTTTCTTCTCAGTTTTATCACTCTGCTGCCTATAGGAGGTTTCAGCACACTTTCATGATTAGTATTAAGAATCTAGCTGATCTATTGAAGCAGAGAGGATGGGGGCTGGAAGGGGGTTTATAAAGAGTCTCCCATCTAGCCCTTGCTAGCTCCAGCCCACCAAAGGGTATTTAAAAACCCCCTGAGGGTGAGTGACGATTCCTGTACGCTATCATTCCTTTAAGAGATGTTTCTGTCTCTCAGTTATATGCCTACTCGGGAAAAGAATCTTTTTATATATATTAAAAAATGAATCACTTTGCTGTACACCTGAAACTAACACGATATTGAAACAACTATATTTTTAAAAAACTTGTATGCCTACTCAGGAAGGAGATAGAAGCCCTTTGGGATTACTTACTGGATCAGCTGCAGTAAGCGGGTGACATTCCAAAGTAGCTCGAAATTCTTTAATCATGCGGGCAAATTCCCAGTTTGGAAAGCTGTTGTCATACTCCTGTTTGGTGTAAGATTGAAGAAGGACTGACTGCCAAGGTGTAAGTGTTCGCAGGCCTCAGTGCTAGGCAGTGGCAACAACAGCCCTTCCTATGCACACAGCCCCTTCAGGGCTGACAAAACCCCCACACGATCTCATTGCCCTTGACTCTGGCGCTGGGCAGAGAATCCAGGCACAAAGTTTTGGGAACAGAGATTGGCAGGGGGGCCTAGGCATGCAGCAACCACTCTAGGAAGCGGGGCAAGAGCCACTGCCCCATGTCTTAGGAGACCAGCAGGCTGGGATTCTCCTGTGCCATTAACCCTACCAAAGGGAGATAATCCAAACTGGAACCCCACTGTGGCACCTCAAATATGCACAACTAGGAGGTCAGGGGAAGCAGGCAATTGCCATTGCACTGTGTGATGGGCGTGCCCACTGAATAACCAGTAGGAAATATTCATCATTTGAAGGACTTCAGAAAAATATCTGAATTAGTTGTTCTCTGAATCCTGATGAGAAACTGGTTAAAATTCTTGGTTATCAGAACTGGAGCCTCAGAAATGCTGGGGCTGAACCATTTTCTATCTCTGTTGCTGGCAAGGTTGCAGTTAAGGATGTCTGTCCAAAAACCCTTGCCCACATCATGGAATATTACTCAGCCATTAAAAAGAATTCATTTGAATCAGTTCTAATGAGATGGATGAAACTGGAGCCCATTATACAGAGTGAAGTAAGCCAGAAAGATAAAGACCATTACAGTATACTGACACATATATATGGAATTTAGAAAGATGTAACGATAACCCTATATGCAAAACAGAAAAAGAGACACAGATGTATAGAACAGACTTTTGGACTCTGTGGGAGAAGGTGAGGGTGGGATGTTTCAAGAGAACAGCATCGAAACATGTATATTATCTAGGGTGAAACAGATCACCAGCCCAGGTTGGATGCATGAGACAAGTGCTCGGGCCTGGTGCACTGGGAAGACCCAGAGGGATGGGGTGGAGAGGGAGGTGGGAGGGGGGATCGGGATGGGGAATACATGTAAATCCATGGCTGATTCATGTCAATGTATGACAAAACCCACTACAATATTGTAAAGTAATTAGCCTCCAACTAATAAAAATAAATGAAAAACAAAAACAAAAAAACCCCACAAAAACCCTTGCCCACGCTTCCCAAGAAAGGTACCTGAGCTCGCTTTATTCTCATTTCAGAGTTCTGGGCTCTCTTCTCTTCTCGCTTGTTCTTCATTTTTTCCATTTCCTTCACAATACATGATTTCCTCCGAACTAGTGGAAGAGAAAAAAGAGGAAGCCCTCTCTTTTACCTGTCTAGGCCAGCCTGCTCTTCTCTGGCTGTTGTGTGGAGTCCTGGGCCTTTCTCATGGCTAGACCTTCTCTAGACCCTTGCTGTTACATCACCACATGCAAAGAGAGGAAGCACCAGCTATGATTCTTGGGATGACCAAGCTGACAAGAAACTTGCTAATATGAGCACTCCAGGTCTAGCCCAAGTTCCCTCTATGCCTCTGTGGCCTTTTTCTCAACAATCAGTAGAGATGAGATCATCCCTGTTTGGTGGTCACTCTGGGCTGTTGTTCAGGTGTTGACCAAGACTTTAGCTGTGACAACACCTCAGTTACATCAGAGAGCTTCTGCCAGCTGGCAGTGAGTGACAGGGTCACCTGTTGTGACAGACTGATTCCGTGGCCACAGGGCAACATGTCCCCATGTGACAGACATGGTTTGAACTCAGGTACCAAGCAAGCAGGTTGGGACTCCTATCCTGCACTGGAAGCAGGGTACCAGGCAGCTCACTGTGTCTACCTGACTTCATAGAGTTTGCAGAAGAGCTGTCTCGGATGGAGTGGACTTGCTCTTCCACCTCCTTGCTGACCATCGTCAATGGTATTTCACCCACTGCAGGGCAGGAGGGCCTAGAGGGGCCGGCTGTGGGGGAACAAGAGTCATTGGAGAAGCAGGCAGGCATACGGCAGCTGTGTTCATCTGAGCCCTAGAGGGTCACAGGCCAGGAGGATGGCTACTGACTGCCAGCTCAGCAAGGGCTCAGGTTCTATTGTGTAAGCAGAGCTCAGGCTTTTCCCTTCATTTCAATCCACACTTTGAACCCAGTAAGCCCCGCCAAGGGTTGGCTCCTCGTGTCAAGAAATCTTAAAGGTTACGTGAGTTGCTCAGTATGCGCTTCACTATGAAGGGAAAAGCCTCTGAAAGGTCTGACCTCTTTAGGCTTGACCAAGGAAGGGTTCTTAGGCCAGGCCAGGCCTTTCAGCTCATTTGGGAAAAATTTCTGACTTCAGAACCCAAGTGGTTAACAGGAGCAAGGACTGAAAACCAGGAAAATGGGAACCTGGTTCAACCTAGAAAGGTACAACAAGAGAGGTACAACCCACAGCAACTTCCCATATCTGGCCATGACCCTTTTGTTTATCTTGACTTTAAATCACTTAATTTACTAATAATTAGTACAAATCGACAATTAAAAATGTTTTTAAAATCCCATTTATATCCAAAAAAAGAGAAAGTTAATTTATGTGATCCAAAGTCAGGACATAGATACCCTTGGGGCTTAGGAATTGGGAGGGGGCCTGAAGGGGACTTTTGGAGTGCTGGTAATGCTGTTTGATCTAGGTGTCAGTTATATGAGTGTGTTTACTTTGTGAACTATATAGTCAGTGACAGGTTCACTTTCCTGTATGTATATATATTATGTTTAAATAAAGTTTAAAGAGTAAAGTGAAAGGATTTTCAGATAGGGGAGCAGTGGTGCAGGCGCAGACGGTGTAAAAGCCAGGGAGCACAGGAATCCTAGGGTGTTCTAAAACAGGTTCAGGGCCATGTGTGAAGCGCTGCTCTAGGGCCTCAAACAGGGAGAATAGATTCATTACTCACTGGAAACTGAAAACTGTTTGCGGGAATTTGCAGATACAGGCAGCTCCACCTCCATATCATTCTCCTGAGTGGTGATTCGAACCTCTGAGACAGTGGACATGCGAGTAGAGCGGCCTCGGAGACCTGAAGGACCAAGGGCCGCGGTCAGTCAGTGCATCGTGATCGGAGAGCAAAATAGAGGGGTGGTCGAGGGTAACCCTTCAAGATTCTTTTCTTTTTTCCCTTCAAGATTCTATACAGAGTGAGATGGGTCCTGACACCTGGAAAGGAGCCCACCAACTTCCCATTCCTTCCATCCAAAGAAAGGAAGGCCAAGTACCAGTGACCCTAAAACTAATTTGTTACATTCTGCAGTCTGAGAGCTCCTGAGGGCTCCCACAGGAGCATCTGTCTGGAGTAAATGGAAGGACCTACAGACAATCTGAGATCACTTCTGGAGACACAGACCTAATCCCAGAAAAAAAGCATTTTAATCTTAGCAGCAGCACCTACCATTCTACAATCTTCCCAAACGTCCAGAGGTAAATACCAGTATTCCCAACTGATAAAAGGGGACATTAAGGCATAGAGAAATTAAGCAATTTGCCCAGTGTCACTCAATTACTAAGTGTCAGAGTCGAGATGTGAACCCAAGACTGCCAGATTTCATGATCAGGGCTTTTTCCACTGCTCCAAGATGCTTTACAGAGCCAGACCTGGGCCACATCGTCAGAAGCCATGGAATCAGCAACTGATTTTTCTAGAATCTTAAAAGAATGCTTAACTGACAGAAACAATTTAACTGAGTTTATACAATTAAGTTGTTTAAACAAGTTTAATTCTTGTCAATTTCTACTCATCTATATTGCTTCCCTCCATAAGAAATAATGTACCTATAAAATAAAAGTAGTAAATTTGGAATTAAAACACTAGTGTCATATAAACAAATATCAACTTATATGGAATTTGAGTTTCCTAAGTTTAGGCTGATGTGATGGCTCTATATAATCAATCTATGTTTTTCACAAAGAGCATGAATTGTTATAATATTCCTGTTTCTCAAAAGATCTGTGATCTTGTGTTTCACTTCTACTGTTCAGTGTCTTTCATTCAATAATGAATCATTATTTTTTTCCTATTAAAAGGATCGGTAGGGGTCCAGTGGTTAGGACTCCGTGCTCTCACTGCTAAGGGCCCAGGTTCAATCCCTGGTTAGGGAACTAAGATCCCATGAGCTAGATGGCATAGTCAGAAAAAAAAGGAGCAGTGGCAATATCCTTTTGGGACATGCATGTGGAGAGACCACTGCCACCCATATTTCTCCTGGAGGGCACTGGATTAAATAGCCAGCAAGAGAGGGCCAGCATTACACTACTCATGCCTAGCTCAAGCTCAAAACCATCCCATCTTTCACCTTGGGCCCCTGGGAAACCTGAAGCTCCAGTCATGTAGTCTCTGGGCCCAGGGTGGCTGGATTATGTTGAGATAGTGATAACCCCCCGACTGGGGCAGGTTGTGCAGGCTGTGAAGTATAGCTGGCTCTGGGTTATAAACTGGATTATTTGGGCAGCTTGTGCATATAGGCACCCGTCACAGCCTACCGTAGTTAAAGTATATTTATGCTGATTCCTGCAGAGAAAGCCTAACTTTCTCCTGGAGTTCAAAGCACTGCTATTATTTGTCCAATCCCACCCTACCCCCAGATCACTACAGCACTACCAACTCTACCTCTAAATGGCCCTGACCTAGCTTTTCTGACAGCCCACTCACCACCTCACTCCAAGGCATGTCATTTCCCCAGGGAGAGAAAACAAGCCCAGAATTAGGTTGATTACTGCTCCGGATTCCACAGGAAAGGCTTCCAGGCCAGTTGGCAAATTTCCCAAATGCACCAGATCCAAAGAGACTGGTCTAAGCTGTAGGTTGAATGGTTGAATTCTCTTTTTCTTTTTTTTAACTGCCTCAGAGGTAGGACTGACATGAAAACAGCTGGAAGTATTTTCTGTGTACAACTTGATGGATTTGGAGGTAAGTATACACCCATAAAACCATCATCATAATCAATACTATAAATCTCATCACCTCCAAAGTTTCCTCCTGTACCCCTCGTTTTATACTTTGTTTTCTCCTTTTGTAGTAAATCACTCAACATAAGATCTACCCTCATAGTAAATTTCCAAGTATACAATACACTCATTGATCATGGGCCCTATGATATACATTAAATCTCCAGAACTTCTTTATCTTGCCTAACTGAAACTTTGTACCCTTTGACCAACACCTCTCCATTTCTTCCTCCCTGAAGGTTGGATTCTTCCTCACAGAAAGAGGCGTGGAAGACAGGGCAGGACTCAGCCTACACAGTAGCAGTCTTCTAAACTGGAACCATGAGTCTACTCACAGCTTCCTGAGCCCCAAGAACATCATTTCTGGCACAAACCCCATGACAGTGAGCCAGTAGAAATCCATTTACCTTCCTTTGGAGCAGGAATTTTGGAGCTGACTGATCTGCGCTTTTGTTTCTGAAAAACAAAACAAACCACCACAACATATGGGTTTTATCAGCTCTCAAGGGCTTATCCTGGGCCCATGTGCTGTGCTGAGGTACTAAGCAGACCCAGAAAACAAACCGGCAAAGACCCAAACAAGCCGAGTGCATCCTCTGGGGCGCTGGCTGTAGTCAGATGACTGGCAGCTACCTGAACCGTTACATTCTCCTGCAGGGGAAGATTGTCCTTCGTGTGTAAGGGAGGAAGCTGTAAGAGTTCTGGGTTTACTGCAGCCACATCATCAAAATCTACCTGCAAGGAGAAAGTAAAAGTTTCTGTGAACAACATAGCTTGTTCAATTCAATTGCATTTCTGCAATCAAGGCTACCCCTAAATTTATATTTTATAAACTTTAAGTTCCACCAAGTACTAACAGCTATAAACAAATATTTATTCCCTGATCGTGTTTTACCATCTAGATGGATATTGGTTTCTGATTTCCAAGCCAATCGTAGATGTTAGTGATGAGAATGAGGTGAGGAGGAAGGCAGACAGGCAGGCAAACAGTCAGACAGTCCACAGTAGATCTTGGCCACTTGGCTCCCTACTGCTCTGTGGGGCAGTGGTGTCCTGCTGGGCACAGCCCCTGAACACCTCTTGCTGCCTGCCACCAAGGGGGAAACTGTCCCTCCCAAATGGAGGGCCCTTCAGGATCTTATGGGCGGGGACAAGTCCCCCAGAGCTGTTACCTAGTCCTAAATCTACCTACATTTTCTACTGGGCCCAGAAACTTCTTCCCCAGTCACAGCATCCTACTCATGCCTTCCCTACTTCCTATGCATACCTGCAATGAGGTCACAATTCCAGGTTTACATCCATCACCAGAGTCCTGAAACCCTCTAGGGACAACTCAGGCTTCATCAGCATATTTCACAGCAGATTCAAACACACCAAAATAGTACCAATATTTGTGTTTCACATTTGTGATAAAATGTGAAAGAGCTGCAGCATGTACTCCAGGGTGAGAACTTCACTTCCTACATATGCAACTTTTATGTATTAACAGCTTCTTCAAACACTTATTAGGCATGAGTAAGGCAGTAGGGGAAAGGTACTCAAAAGTGAACTAAGTGGGAAAAAAAAAAGTGAACTAAGTGAAGTATTGGACTTCCCTAGAGGTCCCATGGTTGGACAGCTGGGAAGATTTCACATCCTGGGGGGCAACTGAGCCCGTGTGCTACAGCTACTGGGTTCAAGCTCTAGAGTCGTAAGTACTGAGCCCATGCTCTGCATCAAGAGAGGCCACTGCAATGAGAAGCCCACGCACTGCAACTAGAGAGTTGACCCAACTCACTTCAACTAGTGAAAGCCCACATGCAGCAATGAAGACCCAGTGCAACCAAAAAATAAAAAAGACATGTATTGCCTTTGCCTTCAGTGAGCTCATATTCTAGTGGGGGAGAGAAGCCATATGCACAAAGGGCTGGAAACCCAAGCAGCATGGGATACACAAGGAAGACAGAACGATCAAGTGCAAAAGCTGGTGAGTACTTCAGTAGCCTCACTTCTATTCACCTTTCTTGGACAGGTACAAACCCTTACTACTACCCCTTCACCCCAATTCCAATCCCTAAACTACAGAGAGCATAAACAATGCAGGAGACCAGAGTTCTGACATTAACTGATTCTCATGTTAATGATTCAGGAAGAGATAAGAGTCTGGAGGCAGCGAGGCACTGGGCAGGGTCACAGGGTGGGGAACTGCCCCACTTGTCCCTGGCACAGAATACTCTGGGAGGAGTGTATGGTAAGAAGGGCAAAAGTTGATTGGGGTCAGATCTTGAAAAGGCTTTGAATGCCTCACTAAGAAGGTTGAACTTTATTCCACAGGCAACATTTGAGCTGGAGTTAAGACGCAATAAGAATTGCATTTCTAAACAAACAACAAAAACAAGTCACAAGGAACTGCTAATATATGGTTGAAAGGGATTTTAGGAACCTCTTGATTCAAGGACAGATAATATAAAGAATTCAGTTCTTCTATTTCTCAAATATACCACCTAAATAAACATGTACCTACCATAAGGCACTATGCTAAGCAAGCACTTTACATGTGTTATCTCATTAAGCTTCATGGAAGCGGGTCCAGGTTTGTCTTATTCACCTCTGTATCCCCAACACCAAACACACTGGCTGGCATTTTGGAACCAGTACAGGAGGATTTGTTGAATAAGTCCTCAAACAACCCATGAGTAGATATTACTATCATCCTTATTTCATAAATGAAGAAGCTGAATTTCTAATAGGAGCAGAAATGTGCTTGAGAACACATTAAGCAGTGGAAGGACCAAACTCTAGAATCCAGGTTTTTGTACTCAACCTGGTGACCTCTTCACTACACCACATGCCTCTAAAACATAAATGTCTTAGGCATATCCCTTCTTCTCAAAATCCTTCCAAGGCTCCCATTGTCTGCAGAATAAGATCTTAAACATCTTAGTACCAGAGACAAAGGCCTTCTAGTCTCCTTTTTCAGTCTTTTTGCTGCTGCCAAGCATACTAAGCCTTCCTCTGTGCCTGGAGTCAGTTTCTTTACCAGTCCCCATGAGGGCCACCTCACTGTTTCTTTGGCCCCACCTCCACAAGCTCATCTTCAGTGAGTTTCCATCTCTGAGCTGCTCTAGCATTATTCTGTCTGTGAGTGAAGTGAAGTCGCTCAGTTCATGTCCAACTCTTTGTGACCCCATGGATTGTAACCTACCAGGCTCCTCTGTCCGTGGAATTCTTCAGGCAAGAGTACTGGAGTGGGTTGCCATTTCCTTGACTTCTATTATTGGGTGTTTCAGAAACATACTTTTGTCTCCCCAAAGAGATTATCAATTTTACTCTCCAAATCAGTATCATAGGTAGTGTGCACTCAGAAGCTAGCTTGGTTGAGTAAGGTTTTAGAAGTCTGTGCAGCTTGCTTTCTACAAACACACCAGAAACTGTTGATTGCTTCAATTTAGAACAAGGCTGCCTTAAAAAAAGTCCCAAAGCATTCAAAGAGTACCACATTTAAGATTGGAGAGGACAAGTCAGCATTGAAAACAAGGCTGACACAAGTTCCATTTCCACACGTCTTTTTAACTGTGGTAGAGGCACACTCATAGAACCCACCTCTTTGCCCTTTGTATCTCCTCCTTCTTTCCATTCCACTGAAACGCAGGATTTCTCCAAGTTCACAGTGCTTATACTGGCACTGTGAATTATGCCTACAGTATGAAAAGGCCAGAGTTACCTATCTTTTTCACTTTTAGGATCCCAGAAACTCAAATGTTAAGTTGACCTCAAGTAAGGGACAGTTGACTTTCTAACCCCAGCAGACAAACCTCTTGGCACCCCACCCTTGGAATATCCCTCAGTGACCTAGGCAGGGAACAGTTCTTAAAACTGAGCTGCAGCGGTAAGGGCTCACCCCCACTCAAAAGAGAAACTACAGCGTGGTGAAGGTATGTTTGGGCAGGGGAGTCTCTCTAGTGCTTAGGTGAGCCATTCTGCAACACATCACTGAGGCTCTAGTGCCCTCAGGTTTCCCTATCTCACTCCTGACCTTTATGTCTGACCATTCTAATGATACTGGTATCATTAGACCTGCCATAGTTGAGATACCTGCTGACCTGAAAAGGAGAGGGCAGAACTGCAAGCTCCTGAATGAAGAGCAGGGATCTCATTGTCCCATTACCCTGAATCCGGTGTGTGACATATTGTAAGTGCTCAGTGTTAATGGGAGAGTAGAGGGGTCAGAGAGCCGAGGTCCCTGCAAGAGCAGGGCAGTTTCAGGGGAGAACTTTGGAGGGGAAGGGAATCCTGACTTCCTGGAGAAGTCCAGTGACACGGGGGTTCCGCCCACTCCTGGAGGACGGAAAAGAGATGCATGGCCAGTGCAGAGGCCCCTGGCCGTTGGCAGGGAAGACTGACCGCCAGTGAGGAGACCTAGACCAGGGGTGTGGGGGGATCCCCAATAGTGATTCAGGGCCTGCCATTTGGGGAGAGGCGGTAATTTCAGTCGTCTCAGCCCACGGGTCCCTTTGGTCTAAGGACCCCGCCCCTCACCATTACTGCGCTGGATCTTGATGGTGAGACCAGGAAACAGGCGAGCCTGAAGCGACGAGTCCATGGGCAGGCAGGAGCTCCGGTGAGGGACACGCGAAAGGCCAGAAAAACCACAATTCTGGTAATCCTAACGCCGCGTAAACCGCCGAAGTTTAAATCCCGCGCGCCAGCGTCCCGAAACGTCATCACGCTGTCGCCGGTCTCCCTTCCGCCAATCAGCGGCGTTCTGCGGAGCCTTTTGGGATACGTAGTCTCCGGGACGCCTTCCGGCGTCTGGAACCGCCCACTCGTCTGGCCAGACCGCTGAACGCAGGGCCTGTTGGGAGTTTTGGGAACCCGCGCTACGGGATGTCTCTTTTTCTCTGAGTCCAACCAGCGGCTTTGCTGCTGGGGTCCTTTAAACTCAGAAACCTCAGGGTGATGTGAGAGAGGGAGGGTTCTGAGGTCCTATAGTCATGGATTCGAACCTCAACTTCATTAGTTGCCTACTCAATGACCTCATACAAGTTAACAAACTTTCCTTCTTCGCGCGATGTTTTCTCCCTTGTGATATTATTGCTGAGTTCCGATAATGGGGGACTACGTTTGGAGTGCGTGGAAGACCAGGTTCACTAGGTTTTTATCGAGGGTCTTATCACGTGCTAAGCGCTGGAAATAGTAATTGTGAACAGGACACATAGTTCTTGCCCTCAACCTAACATTTCTAATGCGAACAGGGAACAAAAAGAAGTAAATTACAAGTAAGTTACGAAGTGTGGTAAGTGCTCTGAGGGAAACAAATTGGAATAAAGAAAAAGGGAGGAACCTCATTAGGTAAAATGGCCAGGGGAGAAATCTTTGAAGTGATAACCTGAGTTGAGAGAACAAGAAGGAATGTCAAAATGAAGGGTCTTAAAGAAAGAAGCCAGCATGGCTGGAAGGCAATTGGTGAGTGGGAGAGGAGTGAGATCAATTTAGCATCTTGTATCCCACACTAATAATTTTGACTTTTATCCTCATGAGAAATCACTGAAGAATTTTGAGCAGAGGAGTGACATGATGTGAGTTACATTTGATTTTGTTTATTGGGCTTGCTCTGTTTGGAGAACTGATTTGAAGGTGGCAAGACTGGAAGTGAGGTGACCATTTAGTAGGCAAGAGATTATGCTGGCCTAGCCTGTGGTTGTAATACTGGAAATGTAGCCAAGAGAATGGATTAAAGGTGTACCTTATTGGAGAGGTAGAGTGAATGGATTTTGCTGATGGGGTTTGTGAAAAGATTTCAGTCTTGAAACAGGAGGATATGAAATGAAGAATCTCACACATCCACCCTCCACTGAATGGAACTTAGAAACTAATTTCCCATAATTGCCTGGCTTACAGAAAAAAAAAAAAAAAACCACTTAATTCCTGATCAAGGGAACAGCCATCAAAAATTACTCTCCATTGTCAAGCCAATGAACATAATACCTTGGGACTCTGGGCAGTCTTTCTCCTCTTTGTTCTCCTGGCCCATAAGTACAACTCACCCAAACCCTCAGTGGACTTGCTTGTATATTGCTACAGCCTGTGTTTTCTCAAATTGCAAATCAGTTTCTGATAATTTGAGCTTGCCTTGGTTTACCTCTAGGTGGACAGGTTGGATGTGCCGGTGAAAGAGAAAGGATAATGGTGATTGACTGCTGGTTTCTGGCTAGAGTAGCTGGGTAGGTGGTGGACCATTTCCTAAAATAGGGGAGTGGG